CATTAACATTAACTGATTATTTTGATGTTTAGCAGGAATCACAAGCATGTGCCTCACATTTCTATTGTTTTAACCTAAAATTCAAGTTTTTACCTTCTCAAATTGAGGATTTTTCTCCAGTCTGACACCTGATTGATCATTCACATAATTTTTTTTAGAGCTGTTGAGCTTTACAGTTCAGATTGGATGAATTACAAATGAGAACAATACATCATGACATCACGGCACTCAGTCCCTTTTTCACACTCCTCACTCCCGCATTCTCAAGCCTTTTCTGTTAAAAAGCGAACAAAGAAGTTCTTAATCGGAGGACCGTTTCCTCCTCGTTTCTTCCTGGGTCAACTGATGGCTCCCACTGCTTTGTAGCAGGTAAACACCGTAAAATATATGTTTACTGAAAGAAGAATTAATCACATTGTGTATCTTTAGATAGTCATATTTGTTTTTTTATATGCTTTCCCCAATTCTATCTCAGAGGGCTTTCATGTGGCAGTAATTATCATATTTCATTAGCGTGTGGAGTGTCACCGCTGGAGCATCAAAGCAGTTGGCTCTCCGTATATGTGCGGTAAGCGCTGCCAGGGAAGTACACAACTATCTGTTTTTTCCCCCAGAATAAATTCGCCCTCGCCTGTTTTTGAGTGCACTCTCTCCCTCAAGCTGCTGTCGATATCAAAGAGAACCCATTCCGCATGTGAAGTGCCCCTTGTGCAGAATAATAAAGCAGTGCATCATGGCAAAAAACTGTGAAACACAACACTCTCGCCATCATCCTTCAGTGTACACACAAGGACACACACACACACACACACACACACACATATATATATATATATACATATATATATATATATGCACATGGACGCACGAGCACACATGGTATTCCTTTCTCCTTTGTGTCTTCTTTACTCTTCTTTGTACACATTCACTCAGGCCGCCTCAGCACTTGAAAAGCACCATTTTTGTCTTATAGTGTGTTGTGAGACAGAACTACACTTTATAGTGCAACACATCTGTTCACAAAACAGCTTTTGTCTGAAAACAGCATGCCAAATAAACATCATGCATTCACTTTTTATATTAAACAAGTTTGTTATTGGTGACTAACAAATCTGAAGAATTCAAGTTTGTCTCCTGTCCTTTAAGCCTCCTGCAGAGGCATTTTGTTTTTCATTCTTTCAAACTTTTGACAAAGATAATTAGTCAGCACCTGCATTATTTTATTTTAAAAAGTATATTTTGGTTTTTGTCCAATAAAAAAATCAACATTGAAATTAAGGTTAAAAACAGGATCAGTTAGCTACATTAAAACAAAACTTTTTATAATAAAATCTGATTTTTTTGCCATGTTTTTCATATACTGTACATACTGTATGCCAGTATCATTTGTATGAAAATATTTCTGTAAACTCACTTTATACGCTTTAATTCTATTTTATTGACGACCTACTTTCTGAGTGTTTTTATTTGCATTCTAGCCGTATTCTCTGTGTGAATGTGCTGCTCTGAAAATGCCCAATGTGGGATTAAAAAACTATTCAATCATTCATATTTAAAAATGTCTTCAAGAGACACGGTGCAGCTTTTTAAAACGTGACCTGTGTCAGGGCTCTACAAGGCCACAGGACTCGATCCTGCTCATATCTTTAAGGGGGACCTGGACAATGGGAGAAAATAGCATCTCAACCAGCACAAACACAGACGAGCTGTGAGTTTGCAGAGCCCTCCAAACAGAGCCGCCTTTTCTCCGTTATCAGAGGGATTACCTAAAAGCAGAGGGGCTATCGGCCCTGAGGCTAAACACACTTTTGTTTTCCTAAAGCTTTATGGCTGCTGCCGGCCAGACAGGATATCAAAGCTCCACAGGATGGAAATAGAGTTTAAAATTATGACTTTTCTTGAAGTTTTTTTTGTGCAATAATCACAAAGTGACTATTTGACTGTGAAACCGTTAGAACTTGTTGTCTGGGTGGTGTCTCTTCAGCGTGTGTGGCTGTAATCAATCCGCAACAGTCCAAGTAACACGCTCTTGAGACGCTCTTAGCTGCAGCTACCTGAGATCGATGCTCTCCTTGGCTCCTTTATCAGGTATTGATCCAAGGTTTAGTCACAACACTTGCCTCATCCTCCACCCTGTCAAGGTTGTTGTCTACGTACAGATCTTTAAGAATTTGGGCTGATGTTTAATTCTCTATTTTGTGAGTTCTCAGGTGTCTGAGCACCACAACACCCTTGTTTGAGTCCTAATCCTTTTATTAGTGGTGATCTTTAACAACTTCCTTGTCTGTTTTGAGTGGTTCTGGAGCTTGATCCGTTAGGCCCGCTAAGCTTTAACCTTGGAGCCCCCCCTTCCACCTCCCTCCCTCAGAGGCCCAGTCCAACAGGGAAGCTGGAGGGGATGGGGGGGGGGGGGGGGGGTGACGAGACCGAGTGGTGTCTGAGGTGCATGGAGAAAGCAAGGAGCTGCCACATTATATGCTCTAACATGACTAGCAAATCCACCACGGTTAAACAAACTTAACCTTCATTTGTGAAACGGTGCAAATCAAAGGGCAAAAACGACTTGTGCAAGTAATTACCACTGGGGGAGAGCACCGGGGTGAAGGAAGGATGGAGGAGAGGCAGGAGGGGAGGGAGGTGGAGGTTGGAACGAGGCAATGGGAACGTGGGGGTAGTGTGGATGGTGTCAGGGACGACTATAGGTGCTAACAAGTTGAATGGAAGGAAATGGGAACCATTTAAGGTGAGGGGCATTTTTAATGAGTTTGCTCAGAAATTGATTTTCCACTGTAATCTTTTATTTATATGCGGCTGGCGGCGTCCCCAGCGGAGGGGGGGTCAGCCCTCAGAGCGCCCTGTCAAGGTCCCGCTCCCTCAAACAACACCCCAAAGCCCAGGGAAAATGGTATTCTAGCTAAGGCAAATATTGCCCTGTCTCAGCTTAAGGGTGTGTTTGCTCTTAAAGAAAAAAAAGTTGCTCTTCTTCCATTTGTTTAGTGCAACTAATTCTCACATTTGTCCTTAAAGCGGATGATTTAGAGAAGCTTTAATAATTAAAAAAGATCTTAAAAAAACATTTAGTTACATGTTGTCATAAAATAAATTTAAGCATTGTGTAAAATACTTAACTTCATTTTTGCCATCGATTAATTTTGCATGAAATGACAAAATTGTTATCTATATTTAAATTGTTTGTTTATTTTAAAGGAAATTCTATGTATTTGAGGTGAAAATTCAATTCAATAATTTTATTTCACTCAAAATTTAAATATACAAACTTCAAATCAGAATACAATTGCCAACCAGAATATAAGCATTCGAGTGAAATAGGGGGAGGAAGAAGAAAAATTCTTATATGACCTATATAAAATATGCTGTGAAGTCAAATGCATTCGGTAAAATAGTTAAATATAATGTGTCAGAAATGTGTTTTATAATTATTTTTTGATTTAAACCGAAATGAAAGAAATGTGTGAAAAATAAAGCTTGTAGTAGTTTAAACCTGTGTAAATTCATTTACTCTTCTGTCAAAATTTCTAAGATCATAACAAAAAATAAAAAGAAAATATTTTATTATTGCAAATAACATTTAAAATGATGATTATTTATGTGGATTACATGTACTTAGAAAATAATGGTAGACTGACATGTTTTTCATTTCTTTTTTTTTTATTGAAGATATGACCATTGTAACGTTTGAATACATTAGCAGCACCAGCTTGTCTCCGTTTGAACTCGGGCTGAGTCTGTGGCCTTTAAACCACTTTGCTGCTGAGTTCTGTGGGACTCTGGGGACATCTAGCGGTTAAAGTAGTAACGACACGTTTGTGTTTTTGAGACGGTTTTAATGAAACCAATTATAAACGTTTTGTTTTGTTTTGTGTTGAACTTCTCATAGTTTGGGTATTGTCTCCCGGACTCGGTTTAGTTGCACCTGGTGCGTTCCTCTCTGCTCCACGTCCCCTCTGCTGTTTGCTTGGATTGTTTTCACCTGAGTCCCTTTATTGTTGCTGTTCTCCATGTTTGTCTGCTAATCTTCCACCTTAGGTTTGCAACTTTCAAATGTTTTGATGGACTTTGTTATTCTTAATCTTGTAATTTGACTTCACAGCATTTTTTATATTATAAATTAATTCAGTTTTATTATTTTCAGTCACTTGTTTCCCCCATCCTGCACTTAAGGACGTAACTTGTGAAGTGTTTGCACTGAATCATTTACATAGGCAAAATAAGGTGAAGAAAACAAATTAAAAATCTTGTTTCAGCTCTTTATTTCACCTGTTCAGGTTTTAGGTGATGCCTTTTTATTTATTATTTTATTTTATTTTTTGGTTAAATTGACACTCCAAACATCTCGGGTTTAGTTGTCTCTAAATTAACTTTAATCATAATTGTAAATTCAAGCTTGCAGCTCAAGTAAAATCTGTAGACAGCTGTTGACTATAATACAGCCTGCTGTTTGCTTACTGTGTGACTACATTGTTGTACATGCCTTTTCTTATTTTATTTTATTTATTTTTGTTTGCATTCTTGTCACGTTGTACTATTTAGCCATCTGTCCTGAGCTGTGGTAATGCACAAATCTGCCCTCTGTGGGATCAATCTTTTCTTAAATATTTAAAATATAAAATTCAGATGTAAAGGTGACAACTTCAGCACCAACGTTGTTTAAACTGTGTTCAAAGCTTTTGTTTGGTACATTTTAAAATAATTTATTTTTGTTCCACTTAAAATGATTGATTTCAATTATTCTCCTTTGAAGTTATTTTCAGGGTGACGTTTCAGAATACTTCCAATGTTAACCAGCAGGGGGCGCACTGAGAACACCTTTTGCAAAAGTTTCACAATCTGCAGGAAATATTTTGCACATGCAGACACTTAATGAAAGTGTGTGTTAGCACACTTTCACGAGTCAAGACAAAGTGTTTCAGAGTCCAAATCTAAACGTTTATATGATTCTGGCAAATGAAAAGAAGAATTCATGATTTATCTCATTAGTGTTCATTTATTTATGTTTTCATTCATCATCAATTAATATCATCAATAACAAGAAAATATACTCTTTATTTCCAGAATTAATAAATATACATTTCTTTATAGACAAAATACACAATTTACAAAATGCTAAATGAGCTTCAAGAATCTCACACACAATTACTTTCATCACAGTAATAACTGCTGTTAAATTGTGCTATTCTCATTATTAATGTAAATCTTATTTTTCTATACATTATTACAGATTCATTAGGCAAAGGACTCCTATGATCTGCGTTTTATTCAAATACTTCCATGAGGTTTGGACTTCTCCCTCTACAATCTGCTTGTATTTGTGTTTGAGCACAGTTAAAGACTATCTTTTTGGAGACTGCTGACAGTGGGACTGTCCCACTTGAAGACACGTCCTCCTGACTGAAGAGACTCCCCATCTCTCATCTGCTGTCCTTGTTTTGTGTTCATCAGGTTTCTGCCTCTGCTATAGTGTTTGTCCATCAGATATTGTTGTGTTGTGGTCAGGAGGTGAGCAGCATGTGTGATAAGAGCCAGGCTGATATGCAGGACAGTGTGAGTGAGCTGGGAACCAGCGGGGTCGAGCTGAGGCTACTCAGAGTGGACGACGGAGAACCAGGGTGTCTCTCTGTGCTGTGGCTCTCCACCCGTCTCTGTTGTTCTTGGTGGGTGAAAGAAGACTCCACTGTTACGTAACCATTAATTATCCTCACATTAGGTGGTGGAGTTGTGCTGGAGGAAACAAGAGGGCGGGTTGATGTTAAGCAATGTTTCATTGGGTACATTTACATTTTGATGCATATTCAAAATTGTAGAAAACATTTAGGTTGTTTTTGTTCTTTTTGAAGTCCCTACATTTTGACTTATGAATCATTCAGACAAAAAACAAAAGAGACGAAACAGTTTGTGTTGACATAATACACTCAACAAAAATATAAACGAAACACCTTTGTTTCTGCTCCGATTTTTCATGAGATTTAGTTAAAGATCTAAAATTCATTCCAGATACACAATATCACCATTTCTCTCAAACATTGTTCACAAATCAGTCTAAATGTGTGATAGTGAGGGTGGCCTTTTATTGTGGGCAGTATAAGGTAAGCCTGTGCAGTACTCATGATATTAGATCAGCATCTTGATGTGGCACACCTGTGAGGTGGGATGGATTATTGTTTGAGAGAAATGGTAATATTGTGTATCTGGAATGAATTTTAGGTCTTTAAGTCCGTCTCAAGAAAAATCGGAGCAGAAACAAAGGTGTTGCTTTCTATTTTAGTTGAGTGTATAAACTCATTTTTAAGACCGATGTTCTAAAGTATTCGGATATGAAGAAGCTTTGTTAAAATCAACATGTTTGAAGATTTAAAAATACATATTGAGACCTATCTAGAAAAAATTTCCAAATATATCAGATACTTACACACAAAATAAAAAATTTGCACCAAAATGGGATTACCAAACAACTATTGGCCGAGCTCCTGCGAATGATCAACTGTCTTCGGTTCGATTTTAGGTTGTTGCAGGACTTTCATAAAACTTGAAGAAACTTTTAATTCTGAGTATATTTTTGAGAAAGAAATCACTTTCTCCTTCTGCCTAAAAAGCTTTGCTCTTACAGTTTATTTCATCTAAGTATAATTATAATAACTAAATCAATATTTTATTGCTTTAAGTTTTATGTTACACATATTGAAAGAAAAGGTGTCTTTAGGCACGAGATACAAAATCCGACGTGTGGGTACAACAACAAAAAATTAGTTTTGACAATTTAAAGCTTCAGTACAGCTACTTGAATAATTGGATCAATCTTTTTTTCCAATGGGTTTTTCTGCACAACATCCTGTCATGATCACTATGAAGAACTAGTCAGACAATGAGCGAGAAAGGACAGAGTCTGACCCTAAAGAGAAGAGAAGCTCAGGTGTGTTCAGGAGAGATGTATTCCCTTCTGAAGAACTTCTGTTTGTGCAGATCATCATGAAGAATTTGAGCATTCTGTAGTCAAGTCAAAATGTCTATGGTAAAAAAAGGCATACCAATCAAAACTACATTTTGCGTAGACCTGCAACTTTTAAACCCCTAATCTTAAATTTAAATGTTATGACATTTTTTCCGAGTTATAATAGTTGTATGGTTGATACAAAACATTTTTATGAAGTGCTTTCCACTAAATTCCTCTCACATGATGTAATTTCAGCCGTTTTCTTGACAATTTCAGTACCTTCCTGAATGAGCCATTTCAGAGCTCTGTCCCTTTAAGAAAATAAGCTGGAGCTGGCCACGCCCACTATCCCCAGCTCAGGATGCTATAAGCTGAGAAGCTCTCATACCCAGGTGGGGCTAGGAATAGAGCCACTGCTCCTCTAGCAGCATGTGAGAGTCAGTATTCTATTTTCCCCATTAGTGACATCACAAAGAAAGACTTTTTGAAACAGCTTGTTTTAGGCACAAAAATCCTAAAACCAAACACTGACAGAAAACAGATTAGACATGGGTTTTTTTAATGATTTTTGTGTTTTTACACCAACAGCAGAGACACATGGCAGCACAAAATAATATTAATATGGCCCCTTAAATGATAATCAATTTACAGCATGCTATGTGAGTTATTTTATAAATTAGTCACCATCTTCTAAAAATATAATTCATGACAGGACTTCTTACCCATCCGCGATGCGAACCCACAGGTCACTGAAGAGACGGGGCCTTCCGTGGCCACGGTGAGCCTTTTTGGGCCGTTTATGTCGTCCAAATTCTTCTAACTGAGTCAGGCTGTCCGGTAGAAGCATGTGAGGCAGGCTGTCTCCTTCAAGCTCAGTTTCTTCTGGGTCATCTATCTCCACCCGTGGACTGGTCATCCAGCTGGTGGGGGGCACTGTGCCGGTGTCCGAGCTTCCCTGGTGCGACTCCACTACAGGCAGGTCTGGGTCTTGTTTGCTTCTGGGAAAAGGGAAAGTAGGGGGGAGGGGGCATGCATGGAATCAATTAATGAAAACGTTTCATTATATAAATCTCAACATAATCATAAGTTTCACTAAAACAATCTACTTACACAGCAAACGGGAAGTGAGAGCTCTTTTGCAGTGCTGTTTTACATTCTTTAACCTGCTGCTAGTGAATGTTATTTTATGTGGTTTCTGAACTCTCTGCTGCTTTCCACTTCCAACTTGTAACTTTAGTCAAGGACACAAAGCAAAGCCTTGCCCTGTTAATAATGTCCTGAGTGGCTGAAAACCCAGCAGGCAACATTAGGGGGAAATGTAACCCTCACGGTCGCTATACGTATTTAAGCAAGACCAACATTAGACCAAAAAAAAGACCACCCAGAATCTCCAGCAGTACAGTAAATATCTCTCTTGCAGTCATTACTCATTCTCTTGTGTTCTTTTCTCGTCAATATGGCCTGAATGTAATGTTTTTACATAGCAGAGAACAATTAAAAGATTTCTCACTATACATCACTAAATTAAATATTACTTGATCAGCTGTTGGACAAAATGTTGTCATTTTGCACCGATGGCTTCACTAATGAGCAGTTTCATCTCTCCCACATAGTTATTTTAAATTAGAATGTTTCCACTTCAGTCTCTGATGGCTCGGTCAGTGTGATAACAGCTTCAGGTCTGCGGTCCGGCTCCTGTTCAGCCAGACTCAGTTCAGGTCTGGTTCCGTCTGTCAGTCAATTTCATGATTGCACGTTGTTGCCAGCCGGTTAGAAACACTCCAGGTTCGAGGCTTGTGGTTTTCATAAACACCTCTCACACTGCGGTCTTTTTCCATGCCTGTCATGTCACCTTGTATCGGGGGAGCTACAGGAGTGTGTTTGCATTCAAGTGTGTGTACCATACACTGGTATTTTGTGACCACAGCACGTCAGTCCACTTGTCAGCTTTTAAAACATGAACCACAGCTGGTTGATCTGTATAAGCAGGGCGGAGGAAAGCAATGGGGACGATTAGGCACCACGTGCTGACAGGCAAGGCAGGCAATTGATTTGGCCTCTCAGGCCACAAGGGGGCCCCAGAGGGCCAAAATACAGTGACGTCAGAACTACAACAGTAGCGATCGCTATCCCTGTCCTTGTTTCTTTTCTTTTCTTGCTTTGATTCAAGTTGTAAATACAACAAAATTCTGCACTAATTTATTTTGAGTCTTGTTTAGAGCACATATTCACCACTGCTACCCCTGTTCCCTGGTACTTTGCATCCCCCCCCACACACACACACACACCCACACACACGTGCGTGGGCATGTGCTCATGTGTTGTGGTGAGAACAGTCAGAGCTGGCAGTTTGCTTTGGCAGCTAAAGATGAGAGGGAGGTGATGTGGGGCAGGAGCAAGGTGAAGGGAGTTAAAGATGTTTCAAAGGATTTTTGCATAGCTGAGCTTTATTTGTTACAGAGCTCCATTTGGATCGTCTCTGCAGTGAGTCAAGATGAATCTACTGGAGTTGAAAGGCTCAATTATACAGGATTAGATGGCAGGGTGCAGGGCTAAGTTGTGGGGAAGCACATATGGGGTGAACTTATAAAGACACATCTGGATGTGGAACTGCTCTGTCTGTATAGCATAACATTAGCAGCTTGGAAGTTCATCTGGTCATGTCTTGTTTTGCTTGTGTTCCAAACTATTGTTACACTTGTGACTCACCAGCCACTTTTTTATGTTAACGTTTCAAACTGCAGGAGTATTCTTAGGTGTGTTCTTACTGTGTCGTGGTTCTAATTCCATGCTTTCGTTCTTTTTTAAACACAGAAACAGTTTTGTTTACCTGTTTTGTAGCTACAGTTTCGCCGGATGCAGGAGTATTTTTTGTCACTTCAAGTCTCCTGGTACAGGTGTGCAGTGGTTACTTACTCTGTGCCTGTTTCTTGATGGTCTGAAGGCATGTGGACAACTTCATAGCCCTCCTGCCTGAGGATGTCCAGCACACTGTGGTTCCCGAGGAAGTGACCTAAGAGTGAACAAACAGAAATGCAAGAACTTACAACTAATTTGTTGCAAAGCATTTTTTTTCTCTACATAAGGAGGACTGAACTGCTTCATGCAAATGAATCCATGTGAAAATCAGAAAGTATAATTCTGTTAAGCTAATTTGTTGAAATCATGGTTGCATCACCAATTTTTCGGCTTGATTTGTTTTTTGCTTCTTGGAGCACGTCTGGTGTTTGATGCGAGCCTTATGTCATGTCCCTGAGCAGAGGTGAGTTCCATCATCTCCTCTCACCAGAACCTGAGTTTATTCTCCGCAGGTGGGGAGCAGAGGGAACTACAGCTGCAGACGATTCCCTAATCAGGAACGCAGGTTTAAAAGGAGGACGGAGACACTTCATTTCGCCGGATGATTGTACCAGTTCAGGTAGCACCAGCCACTCGACCTTGAACCTTGAAACCTGTTTAACTCGTGTTTGGATTATTGACCTTGGATCGTAGTTTCGGATTTGGATTTGGATATTCCCTTATACTTGTTTGTCTCGCTCAGGATCACCTCATCATCATCTCACCCTCGCTGTCTCCAATTCTGGATTATTCTACACGTCCCGTCCTCCTCCGACGTTCCGGCTCGGATTTCCCTCTGCTGCCTCACTCTACGACATCTCTCATCCTCTGCTCAGCGTCCTTCCCGGCTACACTTCCTCTCAGCACCGACACCTCAAAGACTCGAGCCGTCTTGGCTCCTCAGCACAGGACTTCCCTGTAGCAGCTCTTAGTTCCGTTTATAATAAAGACATTTTACTTTATTTTTTGGACTTGTGTGATGATTCTGCATGTCTTGGGTTAGGCACTTACCTCGAGCCATGACAGAATCATCCGGCCACGTAGCTAACCCAGCGGAATCAGCACTCGCGGATCTGGCTACCCAGATGTCCCAACAGGAGCAGACACTCCCCGTCCTCGTGGAGCAGATCACCATCTCCAACCAACGTTACCAACGTTTAGAGACCGTACTGCAGCAGCTCCAGGAACAACTCTCCTCTTCCGTCCTCGCTCCAGCGCCAGCCGCCGCTCCGGAGTATGGAACAGCACTACACGCCCACGCCTCTGGAGGAGTGGTTTCACCCGGACAGGAAGCGCGCTGTCTTCCGGAAATCACCCACTGCCGTTCGGCTCCTCCTCGGCAATGCCCGACTTTTTCCGGTGAGTTCGAGGATTGTTTTGGATTTTTACTGCAGTGCCGCCTAGCGTTTGAAGAATCCCCCAAGTCTTTTCCTACTGACTCTATGAAGATTTCTTTTATTATTGGACTTCTTAGAGGAAAAGCACTTAGGTGGGCAGAGGCTAAGAGTAGAAATTCCGATTTTCTGTCTGGTTCCTACTCTGATTTTCTGGAGGAGTTTAAACTCACTTTTTGCAGTTCCGAGACTACCACTGACATCAGGAAGAGACTTTTGCGCCTCTCGCAGGGAAGGAAGTCAGTGGTTGACATGTCTCTGGAATTCAGGACTTTGGCTGCGATGACATCATGGGGGGATGAAGCTCTCAAAGCAGTATTCATCGAGGCTTTAAACGACAGGGTTAAGAACCAGCTGGCTCTTTGCCCCGAACCCCCAACTCTGGACGGGTTGATCACCTTATGCATCTCCATCGACAAGAGACATCGGGAGCTTCTGAAGACATCTTCCAGGGATCTGTCACCACCATCAGCACCTCGCCCATCCTATAGGTCTCCTCCTCTGGATGCCTCCGAGGAGCCTATGCAGGTGGGACGTACCCATCTCACCCCGGAAGAACGCCATCATCGCTTCAGCAAGGGGCTGTGCCTTTACTGTGGTAAACCAGGACACATGGTGCAATCCTGCCCTGCGGCGTCAAAAGGGCGTGCCCACCAGTAGTTCCGGGAGTCCTGGTGGGCAGTCAGACAGGTAAAGAAACCTCCCGTTTCCTTATAGAATGTGCATTGACTGTTAACGGTCGTCGCTACCAGACGACTGCTCTTGTGGACTCTGGATGTGAACAGTCATTGGTGGACCCGCAACTGGTCCGCAAGTGGGGTCTGTCTACAGTTCCACTGCTGGAACCATTAACTGTGTCCTCCCTAGACGGGAGGTCTCTGTCCACCATCACTCTCCGAACTGAACCACTCCAGCTCCAGGTCTCAGGTAACCACACAGAGACAACCTCACTGTTTGTGTTTCCCTCTCCGCAGAACCAAATAGTTCTAGGCCATTCCTGGCTTAAGGAACACAACCCTTGTCTGGACTGGAGGTCTAACCGTGTCGAGACCTGGAGTCCGGAGTGTCTTCTAACCTGTTTAACCTCTGCTGCAGCTGGATCTAAGGACTCTGAAAGGACTATTAGGGAGCCGCCAGATCTCACCCAGGTACCTAGTGAGTACCATGATTTACAGCAGGTGTTTAGCAGAGATAAAGCAGCCACGTTACCACCTCACCGTCCCTTTGATATTGGCATCGACCTGTTGCCAGGAGCTCCGCTCCCAACCAGCCGCCTCTACAGTCTGTCCAAGCCTGAACAGGACAGTATGAGACAGTACATCCACGAGGCCTTGACCAATGGCATTATCAGGCCATCCACCTCGCCTCTGGGAGCTGGTTTTTTCTTCGTGGCCAAGAAGGATGGCTCGCTCCGCCCTTGCATAGACTACAGGGGTTTAAACCAAATAACGGTAAAGGACAAGTACCCGCTTCCTCTGCTTTCATCTACCTTTGAACCTGTGCAGGATGCCACCGTTTTTACGCGGTTGGATCTCCGCAACGCATATCATTTGGTCAGGGTGCGCCAAGGTGACGAATGGAAGACTGCGTTTAAGACACCTCTGGGGCACTTTGAATATTTAGTGATGCCTTTTGGTCTCACCAATGCTCCAGCGGTGTTTCAGAGACTTGTGAACTCTGTGTTGGGGGACTACATAAATGACTTTGTGACTGTATATCTTGACGATATTTTGATTTTCTCTAGGTCCTTGGCCCAACACAAAAGACACGTTCGGTTGGTTCTCCAACGGCTGTTGGAGAACAGACTTTTTGTGAAAGCTGAGAAATGTGAGTTTCATGTGTCTGTTGTTAAGTTTCTTGGATTTGTTTTAGAGAGTGGACGGTTGAGGGCGGATCCTGATAAGGTCCAAGCTGTAACGGAGTGGCCTACCCCTACCACCAGGAAACAGCTGCAGCGGTTCCTGGGCTTTGCAAACTTTTACAGACGGTTTATCCGCAATTATAGCCAGACCGCAGCCCCTTTGACAGCCCTAACCTCTGTTGTCAAGCCCTTTTCTTGGTCTCCAGAAGCAGAAGCCACATTTCGGACACTTAAGAAGAAGTTCACGGAGGCTCCCGTCCTCTCTAGACCAGACCCCAAGCGGCAATTCACCGTGGAGGTGGACGCCTCGGACACCGGGGTCGGGGCAGTGCTCTCTCAGGTATCGTCGGAGGACCACAAACTCCATCCGTGTGCCTTCTACTCTCGGCGCTTAACACCCACTGAGAGCAGGTATGACGTTGGGGACAGGGAGTTACTGGCTGTAAAACTGGCTTTAGAAGAGTGGAGACATTGGCTGGAGGGGGCTGAACTACCTTTCATCATTTGGACTGATCATAAAAACCTGATCTATCTAAAGGAGGCAAAAAGACTAAATCCTCGACAGTACAGGTGGTCTTTGTTCTTCTCCCGTTTTAATTTTGTTCTATCCTATAGACCGGGGTCTAAGAACGTGAAGCCTGACGCCCTGTCCCGACAGTACGCCGCTGAGGATGAGACGGCTCCTTGCACCATTCTGCCTTCCTCCTGCATTGTCGCAGGAGTAACCTGGCCCATAAGAGACCAGGTCCTGGAGGCCCTTAAGACTGATCCCGGGCAAGGTAACGGACCCTCTAACAAAATGTTTGTTCCCCAAGGATTACGGGGAAAAGTTATCCACTGGGCTCACACCGGGAGATTTTCCATCCACCCCGGAGTGGGACGCACAGTGGCTCTGATCAGGCAATCTTTCTGGTGGTCCTCCCTCTACAAAGACGTGAAGGAGTATGTGTCGGCCTGCCATGTCTGTGCTCAGCAAAAGGGCTCTAACCAGCCTCCTGCAGGTCTGCTCTGTCCTCTACCAGTACCGTCCCGTCCTTGGTCCCATATCGCCTTGGACTTTGTTTGTGGTTTGCCACCTTCGCGTGGTTTTACTGTTATTTTGACTGTGGTGGACAGGTTCTCCAAAGCCTGTCATCTGGTGCCGTTAAAGGCCCTCCCTACCTCTGCCGTTACGGCCCAGTTGTTAATAAAACATGTTTTTCGTCTGCACGGAATCCCAACAGATCCTCTCTGACCGTGGTCCCCAGTTCGCATCCCGCGTCTGGAAGGAATTCGCCACTGCCTTGGGTGCCCAGGTGGCCCTGACCTCGGGGTTTCATCCGCAGACCAATGGACAATGCGAGCGGATGAACCAGGAACTGGGCGCTATGCTTCGCTGCGTCTGTGCCACCAGCCCGTCCACCTGGAGCGAGCATTTGGCTTGGGTCGAGTATGCCCATAATAGCCATGTCTCCTCCGCCACAGGTCAGTCTCCCTTCGAATCCTCCCTCGGGTATCAGCCCTCTCTGTTCCCCCTTCAGGCAGAGACCACCCTCACCACTCCTCAGTTCCTTCGTCGGGCCCGTCGCACCTGGGTCGCCACGAGATCGGCCCTTCAACGGACCGCGGAGAGGAACCAGCGACTGGCTGACCGACACCGCCACCCAGCTTCCACTTACTCTCCTGGTCAGAGGGTCTGGTTGTCTTCCAGGGATGTACCGCTGAAGGCTACCTCTAGGAAGTTCTCTCCAAGGTTCCTTGGTCTCTTCAGAGTATTGGCGGTTCCTAGCCCGACGACCGTGCGTTTGGAGCTTCCTTCGTCGCTCCGGATCCATCCTGTGTTCCACGTCTCCCTGGTGAAGCCCGTCGTTTCCAGCCCTCTGTGCCCAGCCCCGGCTCCGCCTCCTCCTACTCGGCTCTACAGAGGGGGACTGGTGTACA